CCTGAACAAAAGGTATAAAGCCTTTCTATAACTTTCATCATTTCTCAAAGTTCATAGTTTCCAGAGGCACGTTGTTTAGGAAGCGGATGCCATTATATAGTTGTTTTTTATTTAAGCATCGTCACACTCCTTCATTCATTCATCTCACATTCCAGTTATTATTCCAGGTTTAGGATACAGAAATTAATAAAATAGATAAAACTCCATGTCCTCAAAGTTCTAATTTCCTGTTGAGTGGACAGTACATACTAAACGAGTATTAATAATTAGCATGTGGTGAATGACAGGATTAAAAATGAGAAGGGTATTATGGAGTGCTAGTTGTAATTGGGTTACTCTTTATATATGTTTGTTAATAGATACCTCTTTGGAAAAATGTTTGCAGCCCAGTCCTTACTAAAGGAAGCCACATGGTTCTCTGAGGGTAACTTTCCAGGCAGAAGGCTTTGAGGTTGGCTTATATTTGAGGAACAACTAGGAAGAAATGTAGCTGAATCAGAGCAAAGGAACGGTGTTGAAATTGCTGGAGTTGAGGACATAGATTTTAGGGCAACTAAGAGACTAAGGTGCACCTGATCCAGGCCATGGTCTTTGCAGTTCCTTGCATCAGAGAGCTGGACAATGACTAAGGATGACAGAAAAATAATCAATGTTGTTGCATTGTTTCTGGAGAAGAGTATTGAACATGCCATAGACTGCTAAGAGAAGAAACAGATCTGAACTGGAGAGGCTGAAACCAGGCTGCTTCTTGGAAACAAGGACTTTAAAGCTCCATCTGACATACTTTGGACATGTTGCAAGGAGGTACCAGTCCTTGGAGAAGGATATCATGCTTGGAAGGGTGGAAGGACAGTGCAGAAGACCCTCAATGAGATAGATTAACTCAGTGTCTGGGGTAATGAGGGTAGGTGTGTCAGAAACAATAATGTTGGCTCAAGACAGAGCAGGGTTCAGAGCTATTTATTGTACATAGTGTTGCTGTAAGTCAGAGTCAACTCGACAATATATAATAACAACAAGGTGACTTAGTAGTAAGCTGCAATTCTGAAGGCACATGATTTAGGTTTAACACCCTATTCTATGCATGATGGGCAGTCTCCTTGCATGCTATTAACTGCCTCTGAAAACCCACTGGAGGGTCATTTATGGATCAGTTTCCAACTTGACAGCAAACAACGACAGCTAGTCTACCTAGCAAATGATTATAAGGATTTTCTTTTTTGTTCTGCATGAGATAGTAAGCTGCAAGAGGAATTTGAGCAGAGAAGTAACAATATTTTGACAATGACTTTACACTGTCAGATCATGTGTAACATGTGTAAAAGGATAAGGGCAGATGGAGGAAAACTGGGGTAGATCTATTGAAACGTCTTAAGAGATAGTGCCTGAATCATATGGTGAAAAGTGTTTCTATTCAAGTTGTAATTTGAAGGTGGTTGTTGTTAGGTGTCATTGAGTTGACTACAACTTGAAGCGACTCTATGAGCTATAGATTTGACTCTTGCCCTGTTGTAACACATTTTCTCACAGGTGGTAAGAGAGAAGAGCTAAAGATGGCTTAAAGAGTTTTGCCTGAGCAATTGAAAGAATAGAGTTTTGAAAGAAGTTGGAAGAACTGACATTTAATAAGAGATTAAGAGTGGATCAAGTTTTAAGAGTGAGATAGGATTATCTTTCTCATATACAAGTAAACGTTTATGAAACAATTCACTCTTTAATAACACAATTTCTAAGTTTTTCACTGCAGTTCTTCCTGGCCATTTTCTACACAATAGTTGTTTAGCTTAGTCTCTGACTATTAAATATTTATTTTTTGTTGCATTTCAATATTTTTTTAAGCATTGCTAGTTGTCTGTATTTTAAAGCAGATTATATTTAAAGTGTCACCTGAGATGATCAGTGTATCTTCAAAATTACTAATAAAATACTCATTTTCCAGAAGGTACTTACACATAGTAGATTGTCAGCCCTTCCTAATTGCACAAGTAGATTTGCTTCACACCTTATCATTTGTGCTCCTTAATCTGGTTCAGTAAAATATGATTTTGCTTGTGTGTTTGTCCGCATGCCTGCTGGTTGTTGGTCTGCCCTATGACTTGGATTTTGTGTGGTCCCATCTCCAAGGGAGAAAAGCAAAAAAACAGGGTTGGAAAGAGAATGCAATGAAGAGCGCTACTGCCTGTACTCAGGCCACTAGGATTCAGCACGTCTGTTTTTAAACCTATGGCTCAAAGCCTTGGAAAAAATTAGGGTGTTTGAATAAAGCTACTGAGATTTGTCATTGAGCCCACAGACTGAAAATTTGAGAGGAAGCATTTTCCTTTTTGGCTGTCTTCTTTCTTGGCTCCTTCCAGGTTCAAGATTGAGAATTTTCTGAGACTTCCTAAAAGTTTAACGGTGAAAGCAGATCCAGGCATTTCAGTTTAACTGTTGAGTCCTTGGGAAGTGTGCACAGCTAAAGCCTTTCAAGTCAAATTGAGCCCGCAAGCTTTGATGGCAAGGAAAACCGGAGTGTTACATACAATGGCAAGGAAATAAAATAAAAAAAAAAAAAAAGGTTTTCTCATGCCAGAAGCTGTATTTTTAATTGCTTCTCCCTCAGTCTGTGAAAATTCTTTGCTACAAATTCTTTTTTTAAATGTTCTTAAATGAGGATTTCAGATACTTCCTCTACATAAAAGGGGCCTATGTTTGCTTCTTTTTGTAAAGATAAAATATTTCATTTTGTTCTTAAATTACTATGTTCACTTGCTAATACACAGACCATTGTATCTGGGAAATACTGCACAGTTCCCCAAGCCTCCAAAATAAATTGGACGGCATTACCCTCATTTCAAATTGTATATTGATGTTGCTGTAATGCTTGCTTTTTTTAGGGAAGCTCCAAAAAATGAAACAATGAACTGCCTTGAAACTGATAATTCACCAGGTGCCTACCAGATATTCAGTATCAGTCATCATTTTTCCCCTCGGAATTTTAAAATAGTTCACTGTGCTTTTGTCAGTTTGCTGTGGTATGCAGTGCCATCAAAGAAAGAATCTTGGTAAACAGATATCAGGATAAGTGGCTTGTTTCTTATTTGCTTTAAGTGTGTGCCTCTAGTTTGCTTTAAGTGTATGCAGAGTTAGCTTTGTTAGCTGTATATCAGCTCAGAGGCATCTAAGAAGATGCAGTGATGACTCAGAACTCAGACATGTGTGTCTATGTGTGAAATTGTTTGAGCCAGCCCTGGCGAGTAGGGGTTTTAAAGAGCAGTACTTGGATGTGTGAACATTTAGGGGAAAGACTTTGAGAGGGTGTAACTTCCTGGAGACAGAAGGTTCTGCTTGACTAGAGCAAATGTCTTGAGGGTGAAGAATAGGAAGAATAACTTCCTGTGATTGGGAGATTCTATTTGGAATTCAGGCAAACCTCATTTTATTATGCTCCATTCTGTTGTGATTCACAGAATCATTTTTTTTTTGTTTTGTTTTTTAATTTAAAATGTTTGTAGCAGTCCTTTGTTGAGCAAGACTGTTTACCCAGTACCATGAGCTCATTTCATGTCCTGTCATATCTAGAATATCTCACAAATACTCTAAATTTTTCCATAATATTATTGCACACTATTCAAAACAAACCAAAACAAAAATTTAAAAAAAAAAAAACAAACCACCAAACAAACCAGCTGAAAAACTCATTTCTGTTGAGTCAGAAGTGATTCATAGCTGACCCGCTACCAGGTTTTCAAGAGGCTGTAATCACACAAGAGGCGATGCCTTTTTTTCTCTCAAGGAGCAGCTGGTGGTTGTGAACTGTTAGAGAGACACATCCTTTAGGCCAACAGTGCAATGCACTACAGACTACATCACCAGAACTGCTTCACTAGACTATGGACTCAGGAAAACATAACTTTGATGCACATTGAGAAACAAACAAAAATGGATGACTTACTGTATTGAGTCACTTTGTTGTGATGGTCTGGTACTGATCCTGCACTATTTCAGTCTACCTGTAATTTGGCAAGTCAATAATAACAGTTTGGAATTTCATATGTCAGTAGTGGACCAAGACTGGAGGATTTGGGGCAAGAAAATGTTCTAATTATTAACTAGTTGATTACATCAAATTAGTGAAGTGCATACACATCAATGATACAATAGCAGAAAGGGAACAGATTTTAAGATTCTACCACGAAGGTGGGAAATCTGCCCTAGCATATGATAGTAGGAATGTAGAGGAGAGTACATTTTTCAAGAATATTTTGCAACTATAATAGAAGGAGTTGGCAATTATTGACTGTTGGGCAAAAGAGAATAAAGCAACAATGATCGTTGAGGTGTCCAGTGATCTATGTCTGAGAAGCAGGCCTTGCGATACGGTGTGAAAGGTCCACAAAGGAAGGAACAGATTTGAGAGTCAATTCCTATTGAATTTTCTAGAACTCTGTTGGCCTAATGCGTAAGGAAGTGTGCTGCCAACCGAAAGACAGGGGGTTCGAATCCACCAGCTGCTCTTCCGGAGAAAGATGGGCAGTCTCCTCCTGTGTGATTTATAGCATCTGAAAACTCAGTGTAGGGTCAGCTGTGAGTTGGTTCCTACATGACACATAACACCAACACTGAAATTTATTTACAAGTTGCTTATAATGACTTAAGACGAAGTGTAGATGTGTCAGTTTGGATTCATGAAAATCATTAAGCCTAGAGCTGCGGAATAAGGAATCACCACGTTTAGTGTTGGCAGTTGAAACCATGAGGTTGACTCAGTTGGTAAGGAAAGCATGGTAGAGGAATAAGAAAGGCACACAGGAACACCTTTGGCATTTAGAGATAGAAAAGGAGCAGAGTAAGAGAGGAGGAATTTCTGCTGAATGAAGTGAGGAGTGGCCCGCAGGACTCTGCTTGGTAGTTTCCCAAGCTCCTGCGAGCTCAGTGACATTGACAGGGGAGAAGGAACTCTGAAAGATTACTATTCGATATCTGCTTAAGTTTTGCCTTGCTTTTGCGTTTTGTTTCAGGTTACCACTATAATGACCTTGTGTCCCCTCAGTACCTGAATCTGATCGCTAACCTCTCTGGCTGCACTGCCCACCGGCGAGTGAATAACTGCTCAGATATGTGCTTCCACCAGAAATACAGGACCCACGACGGGACGTGCAACAACCTCCAGCATCCTATGTGGGGGGCTTCTCTGACTGCTTTTGAACGCTTGTTAAAGTCCGTGTATGAAAACGGCTTCAATACCCCTCGCGGTATTAATCCAAACCGACTGTACAATGGGTATGTGCTTCCCATGCCCCGCTTGGTGTCCACGTCTCTGATAGGGACGGAGACGATCACGCCTGATGAGCTCTTCACCCACATGATGATGCAGTGGGGCCAGTTCCTCGACCATGACTTAGACTCCACAGTGGTGGCCCTGAGTCAGGCTCGCTTTTCCGATGGGCAGCACTGTAGTTCTGTCTGCAGTAATGACCCTCCTTGTTTCTCAGTCATGATCCCACCCAATGACCCCAGAGTCCGAAATGGTGCCCGCTGCATGTTCTTTGTGCGATCCAGTCCTGTCTGTGGCAGCGGCATGACATCCCTTCTCATGAACTCCGTCTACCCTCGAGAGCAGATCAACCAGCTCACTTCATATATAGATGCGTCCAATGTATATGGCAGCACAGATCATGAGGCACGAGAAATCCGCGATCTGGCCAGCCAGCGGGGGCTCTTGAGACAGGGCATTGTGCAGAGATCTGGAAAGCCACTGCTTCCTTTTGCAACAGGGCCACCAACTGAATGTATGAGAGATGAAAATGAAAGTCCGATTCCTTGTTTCTTAGCTGGGGACCACCGAGCCAATGAGCAGCTGGGTCTAACCAGCATGCACACACTGTGGTTCAGAGAACATAACCGCATCGCCACGGAACTGCTCAAGCTGAATCCCCACTGGGACGGGGATACGATTTATTATGAGACAAGGAAAATTGTGGGTGCGGAGATTCAGCACATCACCTATCAGCACTGGCTTCCTAAAATCCTCGGGGAGGTGGGCATGAAAATGCTTGGGGAATACAAAGGCTATGACCCCAGCATTAACGCTGGAATCTTTAATGCCTTCGCCACCGCAGCTTTCAGGTTTGGCCACACACTGGTTAATCCAATACTGTATCGACTCGATGAGCATTTTGAGCCTATTCCTCAAGGCCACATACCTCTTCACAAAGCCTTCTTCTCCCCCTTCCGCATTGTCAATGAGGGAGGCATCGACCCTCTTCTTAGGGGTCTGTTTGGGGTTGCAGGGAAGATGCGTGTGCCCTCCCAGCTGCTGAACACCGAGCTCACGGAGAGGCTCTTCTCCATGGCCCACACGGTGGCTCTGGACCTGGCTGCCATCAACATCCAGAGAGGTCGAGATCACGGAATCCCGCCCTATCACGACTACCGGGTGTACTGCAACCTGTCATCAGCTTACACCTTTGAAGATCTGAAGAATGAAATAAAAAATCCAGAAATCCGAGAGAAACTGAAAAGGTGAGTTTCTGAGAAATGACTTTAAATCTTTATTTGCAAACTCTTTACTACTTACTACCACTAGGGTGGAGATTCAGATCCACCCACAGAAGCCTCAGAAGACACAACTGCTTCATCAGAAAGGTCCGGAAACCAAACCCAAACCACTGCCATCAAGTCTCTTCTAACTCATGGCAGCCCTCCATTGTGTTTCCATGGCTATTATTCTTAACTGGAGAAGAATTTTTCTCCTCCAGAAACAGCCGTGGATTTGATCTGCCAACGTTTTGATTAGCAGCCCAACACATAACCTACTACACCACCAAAGGTCACCGTTTTGAACTCCCATTAGAGCTGTCCTACTCAGAACACATTCTATTTTGGGGGATCACTAAGAGTTGGAATTGACTAAAAGACCCAGCAACAACAGTGACACACAGGTTTTAGTTTGAATAATAAAAGGCTAAGGGACGTAAGTTTAGTTGGACAATGGTCAAGCTGTTAGCTGCTAACCAAAAAGTTTACTGTTCACACCCACCAGCTGCTTTGTAAGAGAAACATGAGAAGTATATACTTTCATTGTATATTGACAGCATGGGAAACTCTTTAGGGCAGTTCTGCACAGCTCTGCAGGGTCACTTTAAGTCAAAATTCAGTCAAGAACAGTGGATTCTTTTGGGTTTAATGAAGAGCTTACATAAAGAAGTCTCTGACGGCTATCAGAATATGGCCAAGGTTGAAAAGGAGGCAGTAGATAATGTGGTAATATACATAGGTTGCTGTGCTGTGTGGTAAGAGGAGAATAGCCAGGGTTATAGGATGAGTGAAAAAGATATATGTGCTTTCAACTGTGTTTGCAAGATAAGCTTTGCTGACTATGTTAAGACAAAGTGTGATAATCTATATTTGGCAGAGGGAGTTGACTAAAGAAATGATGAATTATTTAAGGAAGAAAAAAAAAACACCCCAGAGTTAAAACTCTTTCAGGGAAGAGGGTCTTATGCATATTAGAAATAGAGCTGTTGGAATGTATTGTTGAGTTGGAGCTGACTCACAGCTGACCCTCTAGTGGGTTTTCAGAGGCAATAAATCACATGGGAGGAGACTGCCCATCTTTCTCCCATAAAGCAGCTGATAAATTCGAACCACATGCCTTTGGATTGGCAGTGCAGCTCCTTACCACCAAACCACCAGAAATGAAATGTGAGAGTAGTCACTCACTTTCACTCTCTGCTGTTTAGTGAGTTCCAGTTGACTGTGATCTTTCATCAGAGCTACCCTCTATTGGTGTAAACCCTAACAGGTAGAAATTGCCCATCATTCTCCCATGGAGCCCTAGATAGATTTGTACTGTTGAAGTCATATGGCCTTTGGGTTAGCAAGGCAGCTTTCTATGGACTGTGGAACCATAGCTCCCCGTGGGCAGTGTTGTTTGTCGTGAGGTGCCACAAGTCAAATATACCTCACAGTGACAACAGATCTGAATCTTGATCGTTGAATAAACCAACTCAGCTTTGACTTGTTACCTATCCATGTATTCACTATGTTATCCTAAATTCAAGCTATTTTAGCAAATCTTTCAAGATTGTCATTAACTCAGTAAATCTGTTAAATCTTTTCATAGTGGCATGGCTATTCTGAGAGAACGTCTCTCACTGATAGGCCTCAGTAAAAAGTAGAGTCAGAAAGCTACCTAGAAGCCTACCTTTTTCCTAAGAAGGTAAAATGCATCTTAGGTGAATTAGATCTGAAAGGAATCCTCAAAATCTCTTGAATTCCTAAATAGGACGATGAAGTTGATTAGTAAACTCTCACACCGGGATTAGAATTGCAGTTCCCAGGCGTAATCCCAATTGCTTTCTCCTGAATTTTCGAAGACAATCTGATTGCAACTTATCTATTCAAAGTTCTCCGAAGTACAGGGTTTCAGTAGCTCTACTAGTTTTAAAATCTTGCTCCTTTCTGTCTTTTGCTCACTCATTCCTTTTACATTATTTGTTCTAGTTTTCTTGACTACAGTCTTCTATGGAAATAAAAACACTTACTTATTAGAGTTTTACCATAATGATCCTTCTCAATCTTTGTACCTAATTAGTCCCATCAATCATTTTACACGTAAAAAAAAATTCTGCTTAAAACTCAGCATATTTTATATTTCCTTACTAATTTACTGACAATAAAATTACAACTTTGGTCTAGTTAGGATCTCATCCACACTTTATAGAAAAAGATTGTTTTTTTACTTATAATTTTTGCGAGTTAAGAATAAACATTATCTACTTACCTTTGGTGCAATTCTAAGTCATAGTGGTCCTTGTTTGGATCCACAATTAACATCCTTGGTACCAACCGTCAGGAAATCAGGAGATGTATTGCCCTGGGAAAGTCTGCAGTTAGGGACCTCTGTAAATTATTGAGGAGTAATGAGGTATGTTTGAGGACTAAGGTACATCTGATTCAGGCCATGGTCTTTTCAGTTACTTGTTATGCATCTGAGAGAGAGCTGGACAATGAATAAAGATGACAGAAGAAGAATTGCTGCCTTTGAGCTGTGGTGTTGAGCTGTGGTGTTGGAGAAGAGTACCAAAAGAACTGCCAAAGGGTTCCAAAGAGAAAGTGCAGCCATAGTGTTCTTTGGAAGCAAAGAGGATAAAGCCTATTTCAGGCATGTTGCTAGGAGAGGCTCTTCTTTGGGGAGGGACAGAGGGTCGGCAAAGGAGGTGAAGACTCTCAACCAAGTAGATTGACACAATGACTGCGTCAGTGGGCTCTAATGTGTCAGGAAGTGTGTATATGGCATAGGATAGGACAGGGCTCAGATCTGTTGTTCATAGGATTGCTTAAAGGTCATACTCAACTGGACAACCCCTAATAACAACATCATCCATTCAACATGACAATTCTTAATTGATGTTTGCAGCTACTTCTCATTTTGAGTCAGGGCACATTAACAAATGAAGGTCCTTCCATGAGTGAAAGCTTTATTCCATCCAAATCATTAAGGCCAATTCTACTCTGAAGAGAGAGCCCTTTCAGATCATATTTTGAGTGCCATTCAACCAATGGATCTCACGCCCTGTATCTAGCAATGTTTTACTTGTAGAGTTTTTGAAATAAAAATACATTAAAAATGCAGTGGTAATAAAACACAGTGTATGACTTGTCCTACTTTTGTGTTTGTCTGTCATAATCTGGTTTTGCATGTATGGCCTTAACTATGTTGGTGAATTTCTCTCTTACTCCAATTTTGCTGATATAGTTTCTTTTAGGGTAATGTATTTTATCAAATACCTTTTCTATACTGGTCAAGATGATTGTGTGATTTTTACTTTTGTTTGATTTATGTGGTGTATTATGTTGATTGATTTCTTAATGTTGAACTATATCAGTACACCCCTTTATAATCTTACTTGATCATGCAATTAGAATTTCTTAGTATACAGTTGAATTTTGTTGGCTAAAATTTTGTTGGCAAGTTTCGTATTAGTGTTTAGGGTATGCTTTGGCCTAAAGGGTTGTTGTTGTTTATTGTTTGGTTTTGTTGTTATTTTTTTTTTTTTAAATGATGGCTTTGTCTGGCTTTGGTATCAGGATTACACTAGCATATATAATGTGCCAACCAACCCATAGCTGACCTTGCAGAGGGTTTTCGGAGGCTTAAATCACAAGGGAGAACATTGTCCATTCTCCTGTGGTAGTTTCTTTGCTTCTGTATTCTGGAATAGTTTGAGTAGCACTGATGTGAACTCTTCTCTGGATCCTTGGTAGAATTTTCCAGTGAATCCTCTGGGCCAAGACTTTTTACAATTTGTTTTGTTTTGGTTTTTAGTTGTGAGTGTGTTTAAAAGACATTTTCTCTTTCTTTTTTTATGAGTCTTTCCAAATTTTCTGCTTCCATTTTTCTTAGTTCAGTGAAGAATGCATTTCTAGAAAAATTTTACATTTCTTTTTAGGCTTTCAAATTTGTTGTAGTATAATTTTTCATAATCATTATATTATTAACCTATTCATCTCAGTTGATTCTGTTGTAATCTGACTCATCTCATTTCTTATTTTGGTTATTTACATCTGCTCAGTTTTTCCTTTGTCAATTTGACTAGTGGTTCGTCAAATTTCTTGACCCTTACAAAGAACAATCAACACTTGTGGATCATTTCGATTGTTTTTCTGTTCTTCATTTAACTTTTTTCTGCTCTGAAATTTCCATTTTCCTTGTAACTGTTGACTTTTTTTGCTATTCCTTTTCTGCTTAAATTGTAAGGAAATGCTATTGGTTTTGGCCTTTTTTTCTCTTTTTCATGTATGCATTTATTGCTTTTATGCTCCTTTTCCCTTGTCTAGACTGAAATGAATTACTTTTTCCACTCATTTATCTCTTCTGCCAAATTTCTTTTGAAAAAAGCTCAAAGGAGGTAGCAGCTCAGCTTTATATGCCTGGCAGATTCATGAACATGGTTTGTTATTTGGTCCAGGCCATAATATAGAAACAAAACAAAATTATCCATATATTATACTACTAATTAATTTTTTCTTTGTAACTCTTTTATCAAGGATGGTAGTAAATGGAGAATAAAATATAAATCCATTAAAAATTAAATGGTAATAAAATACAGTAAACCATAAGACATCACCAACTGTGTGGGAATGTCAAAGTCTTAATGAACGTGTCACTGTTTCTGAGAGCACAGTTATTTATTTCATTTCAGGGCAATACAGTGAATAGGATTTTACTTGAATGTGAATTAGCTGTGCTTATTACTCTGAGTAAAGCTCATTCCTGTGCAGTTGAAACTGATTCATAGGGGGCCCTCTAGAGGGATTTCAGGGGCAGTAAATCACACGGGAGGAGATTATGCGTGTCCACTGTGAAGCTGCTGTTGGATGTTTGACAGCCTTCCTTTGGGTTGTCAGCAAAACTTTATTAATTTCGGTGGGTTTTGGAGAAAGCAACACATTTAGCTGAAACGGAGATTTTAAGTTTGGTTTAGCTTTTAATCTTTAACATTTCTAAGAAATCTGTCCATTCTGATCCTTAATGATTTATCACCTCTAAAATTGGGGCTAGAATGAACAAAAAAATGTCCTGCTCCAGGAATAAGAGCACTTTTTGGGGGGTTAAGGAAAGGCCCTAGAGTGACTCTGATACATTGTCCTCAGGCATTGATCTCTGGACCAGATGACCTTCTTTTAAACAATATTTGCATCATAGGAGATAGAAGTAGAAGTTTAATGTTAATGGCATTGCATTTAGCACACTTCTTCTTTTAAACTTTAATTCCAAAGACAAAATGTTAAGGCTTAAAGAAACAAACAAACAATAAAACTCCAAACTATTTATTCTTCTTACAAAGGAATACCCATGAATGACCCATAATCTTTGTGTACCAGGTTAATGGAGGAGCAAATTTTCCATCCTGCTTATAGTTATTAGTCCCACTAACACTAATTTGTGAAACAGGCAGCCTGAATTTATAGAATACAGTTTATAAAAATGTCATGGCACTTTGAATAGTAATTGAAGCTAATCTACCTGTTGCCTAGTGGAGAACTTAGTATATGAAAAAGATTAGAGAAGAATATAATGACCAGGGAGGATAGAAGGAGAATTGATGCTTTTGAGCTTTGGTGCTGGAGAAGAGTGCTGAGGGTGCCATGGACTGCTAAGAAAACAAACAGATTCATCCTAGAGAGGGTTAAACCGGGCTGCTCCTTGGAGGCAAGGATTCTGAGGCTCCGTCTAACATACTTTGGACATGTTGTGAGGAGAGACCGGTCCTTGAAGAAGGACATCATGCTTGGGAGGGTGGAGGGCAGGCGCAGGAGGGGAAGGCCCTCTATGAGGTGGATTGATTCAGTGACTGGGGCAATCAGGATGAGTGTGTCAGAGGCAGTGCAATTGGCACAGGACAGAGCAGAGTTTAGGGCTGTTGTACATATGAGTCGCTATGAGTCGCAAGCGACTCGACGGCACATAACAACAACAACAACATATCTAATAGTCACTTTTTTGAAAGCATATGATGTATTTCATAATCATTATAAGAATTTGATCAATATAGCCAGTTTATTTTATTCCGCCAGCATCTCTTTGAAAGGAGATCAGGCAGTCTGCTCCTGTAAAGCTTTACAACCTCAGAAGACCTGTAGGGGAATTCTACTCTGCCCTATGCACTGGCATCATCAGCAGTGGGATAAAGTCAAGTATCTAGTTTATATGTTCATATAAACCCAAAAAAGAACAACAATTAAAAAGTATCAATACAAACAAAACAAGTACCATTGCTTTTGAATTGGGTCAGACTAATTCAGCCCCATCAAGTTTCTGAGGTTGTAAACTTTTAAGAAAGTTGACTGCTCCTCTTTTTTCCTGATTACCTGGTGGGTTTTAGCTACTGATCTTTCACTTAGTAACATAACACTTTAACCACTATACCACCACAGCTCCTTTGTGTTTACATATTGATGATCAAAAAGCTTGGAAGGCTGAATATACTGTTGCCCTGAATAGTAGGAAAGGGTGTGGTTTTCATTTTCTTCCTTAAATATTTCCTGGCTTTTCTGAACTTGCAGTAAAATATATTATATAGACATAATCATATATAAATAAACAAGTCAGAAAGTAGGAACTATTCTTTCAAGTATAATGAATAAAAACTTTAAAAGAGATAAAGGTAAATTTTCTTTAGGAGGCAAATGTTAAAATAATGTAAAAGAGTGGGTGATATAAATGACTTTTTAAAAATGTGCTTTGATTCTGATATGATACAGCTCTGTTGAGCACGTTTTAAAGGTTTGTTTTTCTTCTACTTTTTCAGATTATATGGTTCCCCATTAAACATAGATTTGTTTCCTGCCCTCATGGTGGAAGATCTGGTTCCTGGGAGCCGACTGGGGCCCACGCTGATGTGCCTGCTGAGCACTCAGTTTAAACGCTTACGTGACGGGGACAGGTAAACCTGCATGCAGTAGAAAAGGTGATCTAATCTTTAACTTTTTGTATGGAGACTCAGGAGAGAGAGGAATTCTTCTGTGATATTCGTAAGGAAAATACCTGATACCCTTATTTCTATTATGTTCTCTCAAATTGGAACTGACTTATAGCTGACCTTCCAGGAGGATTTCAGAGAGGAGAAAAAAAAAGTCATATTGTGTTGGACAAGTGTGCTGTCAGTGACCTCACCAAAGTACTGAGGAGCAGTGATGTTAGTTGGAAGACTAAGGTGTGCCTGATTTGGGCCGTAGTCTTTTCAAGTCACTTGCTATGCATCTGAGAGCCAACCAGTAAATAAAGATGACAGAAGAAGAATCGATGCCTTTGAGCTATGGTATTGGAGAAGAGTACTTAATATCCCATGGACTCCCAAAAGAACAGGCAGCTATGTCTTGGAAAAAGTACAGCCAGAATGCTCATTGGAAACAAGGATAATGAAGCTTCATCTCACATATTTTAAGCTTGCTACTGTTATTGGTATTGAGTATCATGGAGTCAAAATGGACCCATAGCTGACCCTCCAGTGGGTTTTCAGAGGTTTTAACTCACATGGGAGGAGATTGCCCATAATTCTTCCACAGAGCAGCTGCCGGATTAGAACCACATACCACATTGGCAGTGCAATTCCTTAACACTATGGATTTTCAAGAGAACAAACAAGTCTGTCCCAGAGAGGGTGAAACCAGGCTGCTCCTTAGAGGCAAGGATTTTGAAGCTCCATCTAACATTCTTTGGGCATGTGGCCAGGAGAGACCAGTCCTTGTTATAGGTCATCGTGTTTGGAATGTTGGAACGATAGTACAAGAAAGGAAGAGCCCGGATGAGATGGATTGACATAGTAACTGGGAAAATGGGATAGATGTGTTGGAGATAGTGAGACTGGCTCAGGATAGAGTGGGATTCAGAGTTAGTATACATAGGATCACTGTGAGTCTCAGGTGACTCAACAGCACGTAACAAGCCACCAGGACATATTGCTAGGACAGTCTGTTCCTTGGAAAGGAACATCAAGCTTAGAAAGGTAGAGGGTCAGCAAAAGAGGAGAAGAATTTCAATGAGATGTATTGATACAGTAACTACAACAGTGAGCTCTAGTGTGTCAGAGATGATGAGAATGGCACAATATAGGAAAGGATTCAGATCTGTTGTTAGGTTCACTATGAGTCATCCTTAACTCAAAGGCACTGAACAACAATCACAAAATTGCATGGGACGAGATAGCTCCTCCTCTCAACTGACAGATTCAAACTATGCACATTTGGATTGGCAACACAACTCCTTACCACCAAGTTACAAGCGTTCCCTAGTTTTCTTTTGTAAACAAATTTTTAACTTTTTTAGGCTGGTCTGTCACTACAGTATTAGCACTTTAATTTAACAAGAATGTGTTTATTCCTGACAATTTACTGGAACAATTCATACATTTAAACCACTGTAGGAGCTCCGAGAAATTAGATCTTATGGCAAGATTTGAAAGTTTAAATTTTAGTTAACATGTTATCTGTTTAGAATAACATATTGGTCAGTTTAGAGTAATGTGTTGGAAAGGCAAGTCTCACCCCTTCCCCTCGTGACAATACTGATGTTCAGTAAAACTATTCCATTGCCATTAACCAGAATCGACTCATAACAGACCCTTAGCAGGGGCTTTAACCTCTGAGGTAGTTGGTGGATTCAGCCTGCCAGAGAGTCATGGCCTTTGGATCAGCAGAACATGACCTACAAGTTAGGCTGCCAGCAAAATACATAAGCTGTCAGAGAAATAGATATGTGTGTCAATTAAAAGAAAAACTGGCCTATTCTTGTTAGTGGTTAATTTGCCAGAATAGTTAGACTTTCCGTAGTTTTTAGTCCAGATCTCTGTTTCTTTGTTTTTGGAGGAATCTAAAAAAAGAAAGAAATAGCAACATTTGAGTGATTTCTGTATTGCTAGTAGAGCCTAAGAAAGGAATATTTTCATTCAGCTACCTATGTTCTTTGACCCTCTTTATTTAAATCTGATCTCTTTTCCTTTTGGGGAAATACAGGCTGTGGTATGAAAACCCTGGGGTGTTTTCACCTGCACAGCTGACACAAATCAAGCAGACATCCCTGGCCAGGATACTGTGTGACAATTCTGACAACATAACCCGAGTACAAAAGGATGTGTTTCGAGTGGCTGAGTTCCCACATGGCTATAGTAGTTGTGATGAAATTTCCAAAGTGGATTTAAGGATGTGGCAAGACTGCTGTGAAGGTGTGTATTATAAAAGATGTATTTCTTCTCACTTTTACTTTGTTTTTCATATTTATTTTGCCACATTGGGGGAAAGTAAAAAAAAAAAATTATGGTGTGTATGTGTATACATATATATGTACATATATTTGTGCATTTCCATCTTGTTATAACATATAAACTTCCCTAATACTATTTTTAACATATACAACCATCACCATCACTATCCACTAATAATTAATGAATACTAAAGTATTGCAAATATTATAATAGTAAAAATTAGGAGTTAAGGACTTTGAAAATTTGGTATATTTCTCTTGATGGACAGTGAGGCCAAAAAAAAGAAGTCTTGATTTTGAGAATTTTTAATGGCATCAGGAAATACTCATTATCACTAAAATGTTAAGCAAAAGAGTAGGAAACAAACTTTAATTAAAACCAAAGACAGTAAAAGTATAAGGCAGAAACTTTTATCTTTTTTT